ATGATAAAAATGATTATGTTGATGGTTATGATAATAATAATAATAATGATAATAATAATGATGATAATGATGATGATAAAAATTAAAATGAGTATGACAATAATTACAATGATGATAATTAAAATACTTAGGAAGATAGTAACAATAATAACAGTAATAATCATTAAAGTTGTGGTTATAATGATAGTAATAATAGTCATAATAGTATTATTAATAATAATAATGATAATTGCAATAACTATTTGAATCATAATAAAAATAAAAATAATATTAATAGTGGAGCTGCTGGGGTGTGGCCGCGGGGCGATCATTATGCAGGATAGGGGCTTGCGTGAAAGTTTGAATGTGGGTAGGCTCCTGTAGACCGCTTTGCTACATCACCTTCCTGCTGATAAGTGGCTGTGACTTGGTGGTCTTAGTTTCCACCCCACAAGCTTTGTGGTGGGTGTGCTCTTTGCGCCTCTGTCGGGAGTGGCAGGGTTTGTGCTCGTGCTCGGGGGCGTCTGCTCATTATTTTGCTCCTCCTCGTTAACTGAATAGACAAGAGCTGCTTAGATGTAGGACAGGGACAAGAAAATACCTTAGTCAGCGCAAAAAGTTACAAGACGTGTCGGTGACGAAACACTGGAAGAAGCCCGTACCAGGGGCTAAGCTTCCGTAGCCCTAGCTTCAAGTTTAAACGCAGGAGCAGATTAGGAGTTGGGTGTTCCAAGAGATAGGTCTTGCCAGTTTAGTGGGTATGGTTATAACGAGTCCCACACAGGGGAGAGCTTGCACATCCTTCTATCGTGCACAAAAGTAGTCTAAACGATCTCGGAAAAAAAATAAAAATAATAATAATAAAAGTACTGATTAAATAAAAAAAAAAAAATCCTTGATTAGCGTGGAGCAAAAGCTGAGCTCGCACCACGCGGGCTGCTACAACATAACCGAGGCCCAGGCGATAATGACTGAGTTGCGGAACATCCAAAAGAGCCTGAGCTCGGGCGAGAAGGAAAAAGCCGAGTTGATGCAGTCGCTGGCCCAGTTGAAGGACGAGCTGACGAGGCTCCAACTGTGCGAGGGCAGCCCCGACGCGTCGACCCTCAGCCTGCCCCAGGAAAAGCTGAGCACGGCCTCGCAGACGGACCTATCGGGCGAGCTCATGCCCATTGGCACGAGGCTCGCCGAGATGGCCAGGATGAGGCTCCAGTACGACGAGGCCAGAAAGAGGATCCAGCACATACAGCAACAGCTGGCTGATCTCGAGGAAAAGGTGAGATATGTGTTTTCGAAAGGGGACGAGTAGCAGGGCAAGAAAAAAAAAGAAAAAAAAAGAAAGAAAGAAATGTCAAAACGAGCTGGGGTTGCTTTCCATTTGAAAAAGATAATAAGAGGGAATTTACATTGTTGGGACGTTGCAGGTGATACCGGGCCAAACGGAGAGCGACAAGGACAAACTGCTGCTGTTCCAGGAGAAGGAGCAGTTGTTGCGCGAGTTGCGCAGCATCACGCCCCACACGCGCACCCAGCAGGACATGAAGAAGATCCAGTGCGAGATACGCAGACTCGAGGAGGATCTCAACAACGCGTTCGAGCTCTCGAACAAGACCATCACCGATCGCGTGCGCCTCCACGAGGAGAAGCAGCTGCTCCTCCAACAGCTCAAGGACGCCCTCAGGTACTATATTTTGCAACTACGATGACGATGGTGGTGGTGATGTCATCGTGTTTCTATATGAAAAAAAAAAAATCCACAGATCTATGGCTATGCTGGAGGGCCAGTTGAAGAGCTTGTCGGCGAGTACGTTGTCGGTGAGCAGTAGCTCGTCTCTCGGTAGCCTGAGCACGACGAGCAGCAAGGGCTCCTTGAGCTCGGGCCTGAGCTTCACCGACATTTACGGTGGGCCCCAGTGCATGGGTGGCAGTAGTAGTAGCAGCAGCCAGCAGGAGAGGCCCGTCGACATGCTCGACCTGCACAGGCGGGTCGAGAGACTGTTGAACAAGGGTAGCGAGCAAAACCTCGCCTCGAGCGGCCACACCGTGGCGACCGGTACTGGTGGCAGTGGCGCCAGCGCTGGTGGCAACAACGTCACGGTCAACAACATCAACAGCGTTGCCAGTGTCAACAGCAGCGCGTTGCCAAACAATTTGGGCACCCCCTCGCCCGGTAGGTCGCAGCCGAGCTTGTCGCCCAGGTCCAGTCTGTCGAGCGTCTCGCCACCCGTGTCGCCCCTCTACGAGAACGCACCGGTGAGTTTTATAGCCGTCACGTCCCCGGGAACCTGTATCGGCAATCGTTTTCATCGTCATTGAACCAGTTTTTCGGGAAATCGTTGCAGGTCGGACCACCCCCGGCTTACGAGCAGATCGAGCTGCAGCGACGACAACAGCAGCGAATCTTGTCGGCCACGTCCTCGTCGCACCTCGACAGGACCCAGCTGGAGGACAAGCTGGCCGAGCTGAGGCTCAGCCAGCAGACGATACAGGAGCAGTACTGTCCGAACGCCGAGCAGCACGCTCATACTCAGAACCATCAGCATCATCAGCATCACCAGGGTCACCATCATCACCAGCAAAATCAGCATCAGCTGCCGAAGCACAGTCCACAGACGCCCATGGATCTACAATCGTGTAACATGTCCCAGGGCAGCGGCCTTGGCAGGCCGGCTCTTACTGGTAAGGGTTCCATCATACGCAGCTTGCTATTTTTTCTCGAATTTGTACCTTTGGTAAGGGTAAGTTTAACCGATTTGTTTTGCCGATTGTCGCAGGAATGACGCAAGAGCCGCCCCTGTCGCCGATAAGCGAGACGCCGCCACCGATGGGCATCCGGTCTCGCGCGAGCTCGTCGGGCACGAATACGCGCTCCGTGTCCGCAGCCGTGTCGGACGAGAGCGTGGCTGGTGACTCTGGAGTTTTCGAGGCATCCAACAGGCGAAAGTTGTCGGGTATCATCAACCAGGAGAACCACAACACTGGCGACGCGAATCTCGAGACTGCTCAGGTTCAGATCAAGTTGAGGTGGGTACAATTTCCATACCCTACAGTGATATGTCGTGTCGTCCCAGTCTTTTTTTGGTGGCTAATAGTACAAACTTTTATTTGCACAGGTACTCGGTCAGCGACGGGCTCCTCCACATCGGCGTCGAGCGTGCCAGAAACCTCGCGGCCCTCTTCATTCCCGACAACATGCAAGTGTAAGTGTTGTGATCCACAGTGCATCGATTTACCGCTACTGTCGTTATCGTTTTTACGTCCCGTTGCTTTGACGCAATACTTATCTTTTCCTTCTTCTTCGTCTTTGTTACAGATACATAAAAGCAGCTTTGCTGCCGATGCATCCGACAATGAACCACTTGTGCTGTACGAAGAAGGTGTCGGATTTGCGCAAGCCAACGTTCGGCGAAACATTCCCCATTGCCGTGCCGCTCAACAAAATTTACACCAAAACGCTCCAAGTCAACGTCTGGTGTGTCGGCGCAGGGGGGTCTGAGGAGTGCTTGGCAAGTATTTTTTTCATCCTCGATCGTTCGTCCCATCGACAACAATAACACCTACTAATCGGATATCGTTTTTTTTTTTTTTTTTTTGTCATTGATCAATGCAGGGTTCAGCCCAAGTCTCGCTGGCAGACTTTAGTCCCGAGAGCCCGAGCGTCAAGTGGTACAACATCTTGTCGCTTCGCTTCATGCATCCCTCGAACAGCTCGTCCAACAACAGCACGGCTTCGACCAACGAGACCGGCGTCGAGGGCTCGCGCTCCTCGCAACAGTCACTGCTCTCCAGTTCGCAGCAGCAGCTCGTTCTTCCGAACAAGCACGACAAACAAGAGTCCGACGTCTCGATGTACCGGTGCAACTCCGTGCCCAGCGGTAACACAAGCAGCAACAACAGCAGCAGCAGTAGTGGTGCCCAAAACGCCAAGGAGGAGAGCAGCGACGAGAGCACCATCATCAGCTCCCAGACCTCGACTCTCACGCGCAACCAGCACAGTTGCGATGAGCTTCAGACCGCCGTGTCGCTGAGGTTGGAGGAGTTGGCCAGCTGTTTGAAGAGTCCCGAAGAGGAGGACGAGGAGGACGGCGACAGCGATAGCGCGAGTGGCGATAGCGAAGACAGTGACGAGGAGGGCATCATCGTCGAGTTCATGGTGGAGGAGAACGTGCTCGAGGACGTGCTCGAACACGAGGTGATTATTCGTCTTGTTTCTGTTGGATTTTTTGTACGATCTGTAACAATTTTTGACGCCACTATTTTCACCATCCTCCAGGAGGACGAAGAGCTAGCGGAAGAACAAGAGACAGCGGCGGCAACGATGTTGGCAAAAAATCCAACTCTGGACAAAGAGACGAACACGGAATGCATCTTTATTCCGGAGCAGGGCAAGCAGAGGCGACTGTCGGCTGCTGGCGTCGTCCCGGGCGCTGTGCATGACGACAAAAACTCGATAGTCATCAAGAGGAGCCAAACCTTCTCACCCAGCGCGGCCGTCAGTAGGAACCATTACATCTGCCGTGTAAGTGTTTGTTCGTTAAGTGAAATACACCACCAGTGGTCCTCTTTGTCTAACCGATCGGTTTTTTTTTTCCCCTCATCCCAGCTGAATCGAAGCGACAGCGACAGTAGCATGCCGCTCTACAGACGCGGTGGTCCGTTTCAACGCAACTCGGTGGAGCGTCGGTCTTTACGCTGGCGTCGCCCATCGTCGGCACTAAGCTGCGGCAAGCCCTCCATCTCCAAGTCCAAGTCCTCGTCGCACTTCCCGCAAACGGCGCGCACCTCGCTCGACCTCGAGCTCGACCTGCAGGCTCAGCACGCTCGGCTCACCAATCTACACGACGAGCTCGACAGGCTTCGCGAGCTCAAGCAGAGGCTCGAGCAGGCGCGAGAACGCGGCGACGCCGACATGGCCAGCTGGCTGCTCGAGGACGACAAGTTCCAGGTGCTGATGCAGCAAGCCGAGATCGGAAAGAACGGCAAGAGCGTCGAGGACAAGAAGGTCGAGAAGATGCTCCGAAAGACCAGCAAGGAGATCTACAAGCTGAGAAAGACCAAAGCCGGCAAGGGCAAGCCCGACATCATCTCGTTCAAGTGAGTGTAGTGATCTCTTTTATCGTTGGACGATCTGGTTTTGATGAATGAATTTCACGTAATTTTGCTCGTGTTTTCCTTTGCAGGGAAAAAATGGCCTTTTTCACGCGGGTCAATCTGAACATACCAGTGCTGCCACCCGATGAGCCGCCAATGGATAAGTTGTCCCCGCTCAACCACGACCATCGCAGGTACGCGTCCGAGCCGTGCAGGACGACAAGCAAGAGCACCAGCACCTCAACGCACAATCACGCGAGTAAAAAGTCAAGTGGTGGCACGTCGTCGACAACGATGACGACGACGACGTCGAACACGACCATCATAACGATCAACTCGGCGTCCACCGGTGCTGGGGATCGAAACAGCAAAGTCCTGGGGGACACCGTGATCACGGAAAACGACGTGCAGTCGAAAGATGCTGGTCAAAAGACGGAGGAAGACGACGAGGAGGGTGAACCCAAGCGGTACGAGTACGTCGTCGACAGGGTACTCGGCGTCGAGGTGTGAAGGGACTCTCGGTCGAGAATATTTTTTTTGGTCTTCAGATGGAAGGTCGTGCCCGCTCGATGGCACGAGCGGTCGACACGACTGACTCTCTCGTTTTCTTTCCCCGAGGAAACTCACGCTTGTTGCTGGTAGTAGAAAAGCTACGACGAAACGTAAGTTTGGATTTTAAAGATGGTTAAACGCGAAAAAATCTTATACTGGACATATAAGATGATGCTGTGTATATTGCCCTTCGTTTACACTGTTGTTGGATTTGAAAGATTTTTAACTCCGACTTTGGGTGAGTAGCGATGCGGTACTCATTTGCGGTAACACATGAACTCGCGGTACTTGTACAGTATCAAATCGAGATAATAAAATTTTATATATATATTTCAAACGGTAACGTGACCAAGTCGTTCAGAGAGGGATCGAGTTTTGAAAGTGACGGTTACGTTGAATTGTCAAATTCACTTGTCTGTTTTTTCATAGAAAAAAGCATGTAGTACGGACTAAGAAAAAGAAAATTAATTTAAAACTCCAGCATCTCACGTACTTGTTGCCTTACCGTTTCGCGACTACGCAGATCTATTTCATTCGAATAAAAATGAAGTATCACTTTAGAAAAAGCGCGTGTATAGTAAAAAAAAAAAAAAAAAAAAAAAAAAAAAAAAAAAAAAAATACGGTGTCTCGTAGATGACACGCAAGGGAAGGTATCCTCGCTAATAATCGCTTTTCTAACTCTGCTTCGCGATCGAATTGCGCGAATTGTAAAAAAAAGCCTTAACGAAGAAATGACTCGTCATGAAATGAGACTCGATACAAGGGAGTTCGGCACATGCTTTTTTTATTATTTCTTGTAAATGTAATGCGAAACAATAAATAACTCAAGACTATAGTTTTAACATTGTTAACTGTGATCTTCTCCTTATTTTTTCTTTCGTTAATTTATGTGTAATAAAAATTCATTGAAAAGAGAAAACAATACGTACGAGTGACGAAAATTCGTTGAAACACAGTCTTGGTTAATTATTGTTCCGCCAAGTCTCGTAATAACAGGTGCCATGTAGGACACGACATTGTTTTAAATAATCCGAATCGCGTCGTACGTCGTGAATTTCGAGTTCAACGCTGGCATAAGATACGGTTAATTGACATGATGAATTGTTTATTTTAAAAACTTGGGCGGGTGGGGGTACGAAAAATATTGAAATACAGGGTTTGAAGCCCACCGAGCAGCTGGTCTGCCTTAAAAACGATGTGATTCTGCTAAGAATCCACGTCAAACGTACTGAAAAAAAGCATACCCTTACGAGACTGATTCTTTTCTGCTTTTGTGAATTAAAGATCAACGGATCAGTCTTGATTTCTATATTTACGAAAGCTTTACATTAAGTGTCTTAAATGTGCCTTTAAGTGTGAAAACAAAAGTTCAAATAATTGCTGCGCTAACTTTATCGAAAAGTTTAGCGCTGAGAGCATCAAAATTATAAGTATCTTGAATTTTCGCAGGGATTAAAATACGAATCGTAACGTATTTTGTTATTGCTAAAATTTTGTAAAATTGTTGTGAAATTGTTATTAAATTTTGTTAAAAAATCTTATATTGATGAAATCGTTGAAAAGTAATGAAAATTAAAAATGTTGCGAAATGACGACGCACAGCGTTTGATCTCACCGAAGGAATGTGCCTTAAATTCTTTAAAAAAAATAAATAAACAAATGCCATTCATCTGACGTGCGTGAGATTGTGAAATACACATAAACGAGCATAGCAAAAAAAAAAAAAAAAGAAAAGAAAATGTTAATAATCGAGTTTCGTCGACGAGAGCACCTCTTATAGGTTCTATAGTTATTAATAAATGCATATTTAAATAGAGGAATTTTGGAGATGGAGAGAAATCGTCCTTTTTCTCCCGCACTAGGGATATGTGTATATGTAACGTAGCGATGTCGGAATTCGCCTTGGAGATCCTCGTTTGGCTCGCAAAAAAATTTATGTACAGTAGCGAATCGAGGATCGCTTATACATTATTAAACCAGAAAAAAATAAAACTTGTGGGACAGGGAATGCTTTAAACGAAAATTGCATTAAGACAAAAGGGGATTTAGTTTTAAATAAAACAAATGTATCGTAAGAATATAACTGCAGAATCTGCAACTTTTAAATTTGTACATACGTCTATTAACCTTGACCATATGTTAAATAAACTATACGTTACGTATATAAATGTCTATATATTATGAAAATAAAAATATTGTAACTTGCGCGGGTGTATGTACATGTATGTATTATATGTAACAAATATAAAGAAAGAAGAAAAAAAAAATTGTAGAACAACGAGGTGAAATTAACTAAGAGAGAAAATGATTCAACTGTTGCTTTAAACGCAAATATAAATATTGCAACAATCGTGGAGATACCTGGTTGCGTTTATTGTCTTGTTTATATTTATTATTAATGAAAGGTAAAAAAAAAAAAATAAAAAAAATATTAACGACATGTTCGAAAGAGATGTAAGGACGTGGCGCAGCGTCCGCGCTATAACTTCAATCATTACGATAATTATTATTATCATAATTCTAATACATTTAATTTTTATTACCTATTACAATTATTATAATTATTTTCATTAACATGTTATTATTTTCATTATTGCTATTAGTTAATATAAACTATCTCGTGTAGCGTAAAATAAATAAGCAAACAACAACAATAAATTGCTCTGTAACGAAACAAATATTACAACAGTAATGATAATGATTCCATAATTGAGTAATTGCAAATACCCTACTTGCTTTGTAAGTAATGGTTCCGTAATGATGACAATTAAAAGAATATACTATGAATGACATAAAAAAAAAATACAAATTTTCTGTCTTTGTTTTTCCCTTTCTTCCCATGCTATTGGCTCCTCCGATTTTTTTTTTTTTTTTTTTATTATGAAAAACCTAATCCAATTCACTGTACATGGGAGCTTTTTCGTGCCTAATTAAGTATTCACCCCCTCAAGACGCAAAGTGTGTACACGCTGGCGTGAAATCGATTTTTTGCCTCTGCTCCATGGAATTCTCGCTTCTCGACTTGATACAATTAGCACAATCATTTTTTTGTTTTTTTTTGTTTTTCGAATCAATTACAATTTAACCAAAAAGTATTTAATTAATTTTTAATCCATGCTAAAAATGTTTTTTAAAGACGTAATTTTACAGTGCAAAAGTTCAAAGGGTCATAAATAAAACAATACTGTTTCCATTACCTATCAAAGTAATTTTAAAGTTCAGTCTCAGGAAACTCGTTCACATAATGCACTTGTAAGAAAAAGTAAAATTCCACAAGATGAATCCCTGCAGGCAAAAATCAACATTCCGACGCGCAACAACGATCCGCGCCTTCCTACCCCATACCCTCGTGTACCGAAGCTCGGGCACAAAAGCACCTCCCTCTCGATGTATATCGCGAGCACAGGTATGCGGGGTATACATGGTCAACGGGCGCAGGCGCCATGCGGTTCGGGTGCGAGCGAGCAAAGAGCGACGGCCCCCCCGCGGCGACAGTAGAGCAGAGCGTGCCCTCGCGATGCTTCGGCCTTTCGGGGCCAGCTGCGTCCTTGCGTTGCCGTCCACCTCCTTTCTGCGCCGCTGCTCCCACCGGCACGGCGCTATCGTCAACCTGGCCGTCGTCCTCCAGCTCGTCGCTGCCGCTCTGCCACCCGGCGCAGGTAGGTTTTTCTTGTATTTTATATGTACATACATTATACCCCAGTGTTGCTTGTTACAGTAGAGCTTGCGATACGATTTGGACACTGAGCTTTTTTTCTTCTCCTTCTTTTATCGGCCCCTTCCAAGCATGTGTGCTTTTTCGAGTCAACTTTGAAATTCAGCGGGTCGAGGTCCAAAGCTTTTATTGCAGGGTTGGCTGTACAAGTGAACTGAATTACCGAGCTTTAGAGCTTTTTTTTTTCGACCTCCCGATGAATTTTTAAGAGATTCGAGCTTACCGAGCGTGCTTTTTTTTTTCTCGAGTGACTACCAGCGAGCTGAATCGATTTCTCCCCGTCACCTGACCATGGGGCGTCGAAACCCATGGGGTGTCACGCACGTGTTGACCCTTTCTTCGTTCTATTTTTTTCCTCCGTTTCGTCGAGCCCCGCTCCAATGGTTTATTTGTATCCCTGGTCGGACACAAACGTGTTCTGCGATCGGAAGCTTTTTTTTTGTTTTTTTTCTCCTTACGCAGTTTTATCGGGGCTGACTCTATTGTCCGGAGATCGTTGACTTGTGCTCTGCTGTTGCGGCGACACGCGTTATTACGTGCGGGGGACAATCGTTTAGCACACGTTTCAAAGGGAATGCCCTTTTTTTTCCGTTGTTCGGGATGGAGGAGTAACGATACAATACCGATTTTATCGAATCCATCGTGGGAAGTTTGACGATTTTCGTGCGGTAGCAACAGGTATGGGAAAGCACCTAAGCATATACGAGTGCTAATAATATTATTTGAACCAATCCATTAGTTGGATGTACAGCTCCTTAGATTCTTACGTGACTACTCGATTATGGATTCGTATGTGCTACGGAATTTCAGTCGGTGACAAATCTATAAATTTACGTGAAATTCAGTTAAGAAACTAAAATAAAATCTGTACTATTTACCACAAAAATAAACTTAACGGATTGAGCGTTAGTTTTAGGTACTCTTGTAAGTACTGCAGCGTCGCGTTAGTATATCGTGAACTACGCACGTGTATGTATAACTGTAGCTTTCCTCGACAAAGTGGCGTATAATTGCAGCACGTACGCTTATACATATACACATGCGTATCGACTCGCAAAAGCGAGACACTGCACTTGATCTTAGTACTTGTACGTCTTTGTATCGCACGTGTGTTTATTCAGGCCTTAATAGAGACCTACTACGCCAGTGTGCCATACCTTGTGTCCGCCACCACCTACGCGAACTTGGTCGGTTATAGAATGTATGTAGTACCGCAGTTGAAGGATGTGACACAATTTCTACAAGTACCTATAGTTTGTATTTTGCACGTATTGTACTTGTGCACAAGTGCCCATCGAAGCGTCGCATATTTGTGAAATTATTACCGTTCAGCTATATGGACTTTTTAACGTATCTCCTTGTGAATTCTTCCACCAAACTATTGCACCTTGTAACGAGTCGAGAAAAACGAGGGCACACCCTCCGTAACGTTTTGGCATTCGAGTACCTTCACTATCATCGGCGTTACGTATATGAAATTCCGACAGTATCAAAAGTAACTCGAGACATTTACCATAGGAACTCACTTTTCTATCGATCCAACACTCGCGTCGCGTGCCAGAGGTGTTGCGGTCCGCATTTTATACATGCACGTATACATAAATACCTCCTTATAAGCATACATATATATTTTTATTGTTTAAATTAAAAAAAAGTTTTCTCACCTAGTAAGACATCCATAGGAATACCACGCCTGGCAGACACTCGATTCGCGCGACACGCCCCATTAGTCCTCGTTTCCGCGCTTCCATCTCTTTCGAAGCCGTTAACAGCGACTGTGTACATTTCAAAAAAGAGCCGAGTTGGAAAGTATATGCTATACAGCTCGTGAATGAAACGCAGGTGTACGAACACTTCCGTTTGCATGGCAAGCAAGCGGAGCGTGAAATCGGGTCGGTCGAAAATCTATCTCGCGGCTCGTTTGAAAATCCACCGATGCGGGATATTTTTATGTTTTTGGCACTTTTTTATATGCTTGATTGAAATAAAAGGGCGAGGGGGTGGGTAGTTTTGCAGTCGCTGAAAACAAGCTGTACTTCCGTGCGTCTATACTATATTTTTTTTTTTTTTCATGAATATTTCAAGTTTGCGGAGGATGAAATATACATGTAACGGATAGCTCGCGACGGGAGAGGCTCCGAGTGCATTTACCTCATCAAGATCGTTAAAAGTTCAGCGACATGTCGTGCAGACGGTCACATTGGCGCGCGCGCGCACTGTCACCGAATATCATATTGCTATTCATTTTTTTTTTTTTTTTTTTTTTCCATCCAAAGACGGCAACTGATAATGTATACGTACATCTCAGAGTCGCGCGACGTCGCGTGCTGGAATTTCGTCCCTTACTTCCCGTCTCGTTTGTACATTTTCTGATAAATTTTCCTCGCTTATTGCACCGTGGCATGCCTCCTCGGAGCACGTCTTACCGCGTCGCAACCTTATCTACTCATTAATCGCGTGTATTGCGTCCGGAGCGAGCGATTCGTCATTTATTCCATCAAGTCGATCGGCCGCGTTTCGCGCTACAATATTGTCTCGCGCGATCGAGTTCGCCCATCGATGCAATTTTCATGATGTACGGTCACGTCATCGCGTGACGTAAACAGAGCCACGCCGCCCAAAGCTCAATTTTTCATGCAATGCAAAGAGACCTCCTCGTCCCTTTTTCTTTTAAAGGGGGAGGGGGGATGTTTTTTCTTCTTTCTCGTGTATTATGTACTTGCTCGGTCGACGTCTTGATGGACTAGCGTTGAGTGGTTGTTGGCTCTTCGTCGAGTTGAATTGTTTCCACGGAAAATCGTCTCGCGAAATGAGACTACCGATCATAACTGATCGAGTAACGACCGGAAAAATCAAGAGTCAATTAAACCCCAAGAGACGCGCTTGCTCAGCTGTATCGTGTCACGTAACGAGCGATCGATCGTACAAATTTGACGATTCAACGAAATCACGTAAATCGCGTGTTGGAGATGAGTTTACAGTATACCTGCGCGCGTTAATGTTTCTTCATAGATGTCAGCTCGTGTGTACCTACCGAAGAGCAAAGAGAGCTCTCTCGTAAAGGGGTTCATCGACTCTTCGTCTATGTGCATACACGTGTAGATACATCTATACCCACGCGTGTTTAGATGCTTTGAATCGCACACTGACCCAGTTTGCCGGTGATTTTTCATACCGATCAAAGGCTATACCGATAAACAGATGGCTTTATATGCGCTCTGTATACATTATTTTCATTATCAATCGTCAGCTGTGTATGGACGAACATAATTATACGTGCGCGAGTCTTTTACTGTCGCTCGCATTGAACTCATTTTTCTCAACTGAGGCTCCGCGCTAAAGTTTGCGAGGACAACTATGTAAGACCGATCGATCGGTGGGTCGGGCAAACGGGTAACAATAATGAATAATCCACCTTTTGATTCCGTCGCTCCCCAGAGGACGAGATAGTGCTGATCGAGCACCTACCGGGGCGCCAAGTTCACCTGCAGGACTTTTTTTGGACCGGAGCAGAGGACGCGCCCCCATGGCTGGCCAACGACCAGATGCTCGCGGTTTACGAGCCGCGTCCCATGCACCACAACACGCCCACGGTTTACGTCCCCAACAGCCCCGGCGAAGGGGAACCAACGAAGCCGGCCGACTGTCCCACCTGCCCCGTCGAGCCCACCCCCAGTCTTCTGCACGAGGTGGACCAGGACATCGGGGTGCTGATTGGCGAGGATCCGGGCCAACGGTACACACCTCTGCCCCTCCCCCCCCTAAGATTATGTACAATGTGTACCCTCCGTGGTTGCAGGTACTGGCTCCTGACGGTGCTCAAGCCAGGCGAGAACGTGCCCCCGAAGATCGAGCTGCGGCTCGCCCGGTTGTACAAGGCCGCCTTCGCGAGGCAGCAGCAGAGACACCTTGGCCTCGCCGGACCCGAGTACCGTGCCCACCGGGCCATCCCCAAACGCCAGATTATCTCCGAAAACCAGACTCTAGTGAGTATATATATATAAACACACACACACCTGTAACGTAGCCGTGCCCAATGATACCCCGACACAACGGCATATTACAGATATCCCAGATGACCGAGTTGTCCCAAATGTCTAACCCACCGGCTAGGGAGTCGCGCTTCGGACGCTCGTTGCTGCAGATGCGCCCCGTGCGCATAGTAAAGAGCCGTCGCACCTCGCCGATCATCGACGGTGGGGACGAGCACGACGGCAGCCGCGCCCTCGGGGCTACGGCAAACAATACGGAGCGCCCGAGGCCACGCTCGCCTCAACTCGTCCAGGTGCGCATGCAAAACACCTCGCTCATGCAGGACGGCGCCACTCGACTCGTCTACACGGTCCACTTGGGTGGCAAGCCCGTGCCCGCGGAAACGGCCGCCAAGGACATGGCTCTGCTCTCCGCCCAGGAGGTCGCCCTGGAACTCGGGGCGCCCGTCGTCATCCAGAGCGAACGTGAGATACTATACACTTGATCGTTCGTTTTCTCTCGTTATTCAATTAAATAGGGGTGAGGGGGGGAGGGGGGAATGCAAAATTCACGCCATTGCTCGGCTCGTGTGTGTCTTGTTGCTTGCAGCCTATCTAAAAGAATCTCATCCTCTAGCGCTGTCGAGGAAACGGGACGCCTGGCTGTTGTTGGGTGCTACCGGGGTGGGCCTGCTGTTGCTCTGCGCCATAGTCCTGAGCCTCTTGATTTTCACGAAGCGCAAGAGGGCCCAGAGCGCGGTCGCTGTGCCACCCCCGCGGAGAAAACTCGCCAAGGACGTCGAGGGGTACGCCCCGACGACCCCCGGCATCGACAACACGGCCTACACCTCCGAGACCGAGGCTAGAGTAAGTTGTTCTTTTTTTTCTCTCTCTCTCTCTCTCTCTCTCGACGTCAACTGCATTACAGCCAGAGTGAAATGATATGGTATCATATTCGGCCGAGCCATGTTTGGGAGGGTACGCAATATGGGGTATTATGTAAGAGAGATCTCTCTGTCCGGGCACGCGAACGTAACGGATTTGTGACTATCGAAACGGCACAATTGACGGGGACGACATTAAATGCTCGAAGAGCACGAAGATTCGGTGGAAAGGGAGTCCCTTTCGCGTGTGCAATTGTCAGCTCGATCGGTTCGATCACGAAACCCTCCCTTCTTACGAGGAAACGAGCTCGAGCTGATGTCGGTTTTTGTGTCCTCAGACGGAAGCTACGAGCGGACGGAAGCGCACGACTCCGGGCACTTTGTCGAGGACGCCGGGCTCGCAGGACACCCTAGAGGCCGACCGAAGAGACGCCATGGTCGGGGAGTTCGAGCATCGACGGGGCCAGGCGCCCGCCAAGGTCTGGGACACTCGGGAATGCTCCACGGAATCCACCAAAAAAGGGTGCGTCGAGTTTTATTTTTTTCATCTATCCTAATTGAGCTCGAGAGCGTCTTATGATGGTCGATGGTGAATAAAGCAGGTTGCCCACGCGGAGGTCGGTGCAGCGGTCGATCGATCGGCCGCGCTCGCTCGAGTCGCCCGACTCGGCTGTAGGAGGCGAGGGTCAGCTCGAGAGCCTCGAGTCGCTGGAAAAGGAGGACGAGGAGGCGCAGCAGGCCACGGGCTCGCCGCACTCGTACCTATCCATGCCCTCGTGCAAGCAGTTCCCCAACATGCGCAACGTCGAGCCGCTCTCCAAGGTCCTCGAGCCCCTTGTTGTAAGTGCATTTTTTTTTTTTTTTTTTTTTTTAATGAATTATTGGTACATCCCATGGTAAATGGCACTTGTGAGCGTATACTGTGTCCTCAAGGTCAAGCACCTGGATTTGGAATTCGATTCCCCGGAGATGAAACAGAAGAACTACGACTCCACGAGGAAAAACGGAGACTATTTTTTTACGAGGTCGGCGAGCGAGTACAAGGACAATGGGGCTTCGAGGCCCATCGTCTGGGACTGGACGAAGAAGAGGCTCGCAGAAGGTACTTTGTATGGATTAACGGATCCAATGCCCACCACAGGGCCAACTTTTACTTTGGCTTTCAATAACAATACCCGTGTGCGCGAAGAACAAGCAAAGTCAGACGAGTTATTATCTGAAGAAAGAAAAATTAAATAATTTGCTTTCCTAATTGGTAAAAAACAAAACATCAAAAGCTGTTGCCTCTGACCGTGCTTGTTCTGGCTGGGATGAGGGTGACGGGAACTCGACAAACGCGATCGTTGAGAAGAGCTGATTGGTTCCAAGGTGGATCGACAGAGTCAGCGCCGGCGGCATCGGATGCGGATCTGGAACTCGGACGCCTGGCTGATGCCGGCAGGACGCGCCTCGATTCCCTCGGTCGGGACCACCAACAACAGCAGTGTACCATCGGTGAGGGTCCACATGAGGACGAGGTCGCGGTGGCCATGGACAACAACCGAGGCAAGTCGGCGCACGTGAGGTGAGCAGTGACAAACAATTTTTTTTTTTTTTTTTTTTTTCAGTAGTACAAGTCGAGTTTGGTCAGACGTGTATTTTTTCCCAGCTCGGTGGCAGCCCCGATCTCGGCGAGCGCGCCACGGCCTCGCACGTCCCTGCCCAGGAACGGCGAGACCGAGCCATCGATTCCAGAAACCGGCCAGCTGGGCCCCCAGCCAAGAAGCGCCTGGGGCTCGCGACCCTTGAGCGCCGGCCCCTTCCATCGGCCGAACCTGCCGGAGGTCGAGGTGGTGCGCGTCCTTGCCGAGCAGCCACTTCGAGCCGACGACCCGGCAGTTCCCCTGATCTCTTCCATTAAGAAGGAACTTTGCAAATTTTCCTACTGAATCTCAACCGCTGAGCGAGGACAGTTTTTTTTTTTTTTTTGCCGTTTTGTGTAACCGAGTTTTGCGACTTACGTTGCATTGATTTAGGTATATCACTTGTGTGTTTTCGGTTGTAAAAAAAAGTATCCGTCCAATGTTGAAATTGTTTTTTTTTTTGCTGCTCGAGTTCCCAAACAACTCCAAAACTGACTTTTCGTGTAAATATGTAAATGCGCCCCTTCAATGATACCGAAGACTCGAGTGACCTCGATACATTCAAGATTCATCATGTAGTACAGACACGCGGTAGTTCTTAGAAGGAGGTAGCTCGCTAGGGTGGTAAATACGCAAACAAGTAGAGTAGAAGCATATCTATGGCTCTCTTTGTGAATTAGCGAAACATTTTTAATTGATCCTCATTGTGTGTGTATATATATAATATATACGACTTTGACATTTTAGCAAACATCTTTGAGTACGAAGATTATCGATTCAATGTAAATAATATTATAACATTTTTACAACGTAACTGAAGCCACTGTATGCATGGAATAATTGTAAGTTATGCACATAATATTCATTATCAATCGTTTAATATAGATCTTTTTATAAAACGTTACCAAACCGGAGGTAATGTGTGTTTTGTAAATTCTCATCGACACCGTCCACGTCTTTTGTTGGTAAAAAAAAAAAAAAAAAAAAAAACCTTGGTACTTTGTTTCATTACCCAAACTCTGTGATATTAAAAATCAATGCGAATGAATCGATTCCACGATGTACCGTGCGAGTGATACTAGTTGCCCCAATATTTTAAGTAGTATATACGTAAGTATTTGGTCCGACCAAGAGATGGCGTAACCTGTGCCACACCACCACAAAAAGGCACAAAATGTTCGTGAATTCATGTTATAAAATATATTTCTTACAATCATTTTTTATTCCCCGTACCTTCTGATACAATTAGAGCTTAAAAATAAATTGAAAATCGTCATTGAAGTGATCTTGCTAAAAACTTCCAATTTTGGGTAAAAATCATCTTACAGCCCTGATAAATCCTTACAAATAAAAAATCTTGGTCAATTAGTGTAAATCAGCGATTTTTACGCTTCTCTCGTTCGATAAAACAAGCGGGAAAATTCAAATCCACCGAAGAGTCCACTAACCTCGGCTCGGTATCACCGTCGCAGGCGAGCGGATTATGATAAAAAAAGGAAAACAAACTCACACCCACCAGACCGCTCCGAGCACAGTCGAACGTTGCCGAGTGCACCACCCCCCTCTCCACTTTTCTCCTCCTTGCATCATCGAATCATATACATATATATGTTCTTTTATATACATCGCAAATATACGTGTGCAGTATATACTAACCGAGCCGAGGTTCGTGCACTCCCTCGACTATACTGATATGTATAGTATGCATTGTATACATTGGGATTGGGGTGAGAGACCGCGGGCTCGTTCGAGCGTTCACAGACTCGTGTGCACGTGTATTTTGTGTATACATACCAACCTATACCATATTATACGCGCATGAAAACACGCTCGCACACCCGTACACTATCACACAATGTTTCTAAATATCGTGCATGCGCTGCATGTGTGCCAAGAGTATAATATGTAAGAAAAAGAGGAGTAGAGCGAGATCCGGACAACACGCGGGGCAATAAGGAGAGATAGTTGCAGGGGAGAAAGAGATGGAGCCCACTGCGCGGAAAGGAGAGGAGAAAATGGGTGGGGGTAGAATGCAGTTTGATTAGAGAGGAGGAGAGGGAGCGCGCGCCTTATGGTCGGGATCCTCGCGTGTGTCGTATATATAAATAATACACATATAGGACCGTGCATATGCATGGCCTAAGCAGAGCGTGGGCTCTTGCAGCGTTTTAAATGATTGTCTTTACGCACGTTTAATTCGTTTCAGGGCTTTCGAGGCTAATCGCTTTTCTTTTTTTTTTTTTTTTTTTTTTTTTCATCGTAAACGCCGTAAAATATTGATAATGGTACTTTTTGAAATTTTAGCTCATTATCGTACGGTCATGATTGAAATGTTTTGTAACAACGTCGTTAACTTTTATTTAAATCCAGGTGAACTTCAATTACTCCGTCGCAACGAGCCGTGTCTAAAAAGCTACACTTAATTGTATAGAGTAAACATTTACTTTTAACGAGTGACAGTATCGCTTAAAAAAAAATAAAAAAAAAAATAAAAAAAAAAAACAAGATGGTAAGGTTACTTAAATTTTGAAGTAAAAAAGTTACCCTTTTTTTTTTTACAGTAAAGTTTTACCCTTTGGATTAAGGAATGTAGTGGGACTCGGCAACGTTGCTCACTTGTGTCCCATATTTGCTCAAACTTCAATTAAGACATCAGCTGTTTGTCACGTCTCAACCTAACATCATGCCTATAAATGGCCCAATAATTGCAGCACAAATTCGTTTACTGTTGGTGTTCAATCATTATTAATCATTCACTTTTATTGAAAATCCATCGTTTATTTCTTCACAATTAGCTGTCATAGGCAAAAAAATGTGTCCAATGTCTAAGGCCAACACTTATTATGTCCCCTATGATTGGGAGGGTAAAAAAATCTCTGCTCGATCCAATCAAAACAGAATCCACTTTATGCGCATCGCATTTAGATAAGTATTTTATTCTGTTTTCTGTATTTTCTCCCAAAGATATGTTGATGTAATGTATTTAATAAAGGTACAAGCGAAAGGCACTATTTCGCGCAACGCCTCTAGGTGCAGTAGTTACAAAAGACGTCAATTACCGTGGCAGCCTTCGAGGAGGTCCCGGAAAATGTGGCCCAGAGAGGCAAAGGGCGCCCCGCGGTCCGCACGTCATAAAGTGCACCTAGCGCTAAAGTTCGAGATGGAGGGAAAGTAGTAGGTGAGAGTGGACGGGGGACCCCGTGGAGGCAAAGAAGAGGCCGAGGAGGTGTGTCGCGTTGGGGAAAAAAAAAAAAAAATCAAAAAGAAGAAAAGCTTGTGAAGGCACAGAAAAAGAAAAGACATTATGCACGCACAGTGTGGAACAGGGGGGAGGATGCGGTGGACACACGCGTGTAAATAAACATATCGGAGTTGTAGAAGCGAGTGAGACAAACTCTCCAAGCACATTGCCTCGCTTGTATATATTATGTATGAGATGGAAAAGGAGCGTAAAGTAGAAGAAGCAGTGAAGGATATACGTATATAATGTATACATTTATGTAGAGAGAAACAAACGGTGATGGCCACACGCCACAGTTGGAGGAACGGAGAACGAGCCATGCCTACGTAGGGAGAGACTACGGGCGGATACATGCATGTACCGACTATACCGAGAAGTATCTTTCTCCTCGCGAATGGGTAGTAGTAGAAGTAGCGATAGTAGTGGTACGGTCGGACGCATGCGCGCCCGATCGAGCGTACTATGGTGGGATTGGTGGGATAGTGGGGTTGCCTGAAATCGGCTCTTCATATGTATACATGTACACTGTGGACACCCACACATGCAGAGGTCCGCTGTTTTTTGTGAGTGAGTGTGTGTGTGTGTGTTATAAAAAGTGAACACGTGTGTATACATGTAATGACAATATGAACTGGAAAGACTCCGAGACCGTGTCTGTCTCTCGTGTACCAAAGATACGCGTTAATTGCTTCTTAATTGATTTTCCGATTAATAGTTTTGAGGGATGCGAAGTAGAGCAAAATACAAATCGATTTCACTTAAAATTAAACAACACCTACTAATCAATGTATCCATGCATTGTATACCTCATTTTGATCATTTTTGTTTGCGGGTGACGATGACAATGTCTGATCAAATACAACCATTACTACTTATCGGCTGGGTAATGTTACGGATTTGCATTTTTTTTATTACCTGGTGTCAATAAAGGACATGTTGACTTTTAAATTGACAAGATCAACTATGAAAATCGGCGTCTACTTCGGAAATAAGAAAAAAAAAATAAATAAACAGTCCATAGGATCCCAAGCGCATCGGTCCGAGCATCTTTCCCGATCGACGACTGCATAATTAAAAGGCCAATTCAGCCGTGGCAAACGAGCCAGTAGTTACAGCCAAGTTAGCCACAGCCGAGCGAAGTGCTCTCGACTCGGTTTAACTCGTCGCAAGGAGTCCTTGTACTTAACTATACATGTGTGCACCTAAGCGAGCTGATGCAGCGAAAGAAGGAGCGCATCCTTTAGCTCTTCCTCCGAGTCACGCCTCTGAACAGAAAAGAGAGGGAGGGGGTGCACGACCGTCTCTCTTACAACCGCGAAACCAACACCGACACGGATACGGTGCATATTATGTGAACAGTACGCATACACATACGGAGTTGGGCAGTGGAGTGGACACACATATCGGTGCGCTCTGTCGCGAGGGCGAAAGAGAGACGGACACGTCGGACACACCATATAGGAGAGTCGCGCGCACACGTATGCAACGCCGCCGCGGTTGTGAGAGAGAGAGAGAGAGACGGTGCGGCAGTTTAGGAGGGGGCGGCGCAGGCGGGCGATCAGCAAGAGAGGGGAATCCAACAATATATATAATCCGAAGAGAGAGAGAGAGAGAGAGAAGCTCGCCAGAACCGCGGCTCGGCCGGAGAGCTCAGTGCGTTCGTTCGCAAGATGGCAGACGGGCCGTCCGCTGAAGATACGTCGTCGTCGTCCGCGGCCGCGACTGCCGCGTTGATGGAACTCGTTGATGGTAGCCCCGCAGCGGTGGCCCGGGTGCCCCGCGAGCGCAACAAACGCAATGTCACTGCCGATTCTTCTTCCTCCTCGTCGTCGTCAGTGATCGGCAGTGCAAGTAATAGTAGTGGTGCTAGTAACAGTGCTGGTAGTGCTGGTTTTGGTGTCGGTGGTGGTGCTGGTGTTGGTGGTGGTGGTAAAAGGTCACAATCGTCCACTGTTTTGAGTGAGGAGCAGCCGACAACAAGCTACCGACGTAGCTCTGCCGGTAGCTCCGAGAGACGCGGCACGAGATACAACAACCTCATCCTCGAGCCCGCTGATCTGCTCACCGAGTCCATAGCGGCGGCCAATCAACAGCTGAAGATCGCGAGTGCCGTGGTGCTGGTCGAGCGCAGTGAAATCGCTATTATCGAAAACAACCGGAAGAAGCTCAAACTGGCGAATAACAACAGTAGCGCTAATACCACTGCCAATCCGGGAAATGCACCGAAAAAGGATTCTGGGAAGAAATCGGATGCTGCCAGCAGCAACAACAACAAGGATAAGGTGGGTGCGAGTAAGGTGATTAGTGACAAGGTGGTGTTGCACGATAACCACGATGATGATGATGATGATGATGTTTTTGTTATTGATGATGTGGTGGCGGTGCTGCAGGACACTAATAAGTCGCAGCTGCAGCGAAAGACGACGAGGAAGACCACGGCTGAGGCAAAGAAGGCCAACCAGCAGCAGATCAAGGACCAACAACAACAAAAACAACAGCAACAGCCAACGCAGGGGAGGAGTGCCGTGAGCGAGGACGGAGGTGGCGGTGGCGCCGGCGGCAACCTGGGGCCCTGCGCCAAGAAGCGCTGCGCCGATCAATACGACAGCTCCGAGAGCTCCGACAGGTATGGGAAAACGCCGCTTGCTCTCTGTGTCTCTCGCCTGCCACCACCTACCCTCTCTCTCTCTCTCTCTTTTTTTTCCCCAAAGTGATTTTTCTCCACCCTCGCGGATCTTTTTTTTTCTTTACTTCCTTTTTTCCGAGCGAGGGTGGAAAAACTACCAACTGGCTCTCTCGCGTGAGCAGATTGACAACGTGTTTTTGGAGAATCTCTGTTGGCTTGGGATATTGTTGTTTTTTTACTTTTCTAATATTTAGCTTAATAAGGAAGAATACAAAAAAATGATAATTTTTCATGTAGCTGTGATAAAAGTTGCAGTGTCGGTGCATGCATGCATGGCTAATTGCTCGCGTTCGATTGTTCTCAAATTGTAAACATGGCACGGGAATGGTGAATTTTTACGAGAAGCTTGTTGTTGTTGTTGTTTTGGTGGAGGGTGAGCTGGTAAAAATAATTAGTAGCCAGAGGGAATAGAGCTTTTTACGGATCGTTGTGTTATTCCTTTCGTTGTTTTACGTGCAGTGCCGCGGCCAAGAAGTGCAGGAGCCAAGCGATAATGACGACGCTGCTGTATTGTTGCGAATTGAGTTTTGTTTTGTTCTCTCATCCCGGTGATTTACTCGCTCGTCCTTTGTCTCGTGATGAATTCACGAGATGTAGGTAGTCAAACCTTTTTTTTTTTTTTTTTTTTTTTTTTTTTTTTTTTTTTTTTTCATGTTTTGAGAAATGAATAGTTGCGGATGTCGTGATTTACGATGTGTCTTTTGATGCGTGCAATTTAATACTCTCTAAATGTCACGTTGGGCGTTGTGCCTTGAAACGGGATGATAATTTTACTCGATGGACTGGGGTGATAAATTATGTCGGACGTACATGACAATCGCCGTGTTGAAAATCGCGTTTTTAATTTTCCCTCTCGTGTATACTTGGATCTCATGACTCTTCGCTTGTCATCCCTTTTCTTTTTTATTTTACTTTCATTGTGCAGCTTGGCGCAAAGACTTTTCTCCCAGTATCCTCGGGCAGAGCAAGAAAATTCTCTGTTTGACAAAAGTATTTAAGTATTTTCTCGAGTATTTTCATTAGAAAAACGGTTCTTTCAAGTTGAGAGATTACTACTCTTGCCTCTTCTCCAAGTGGTTTATTTTTGCAAAACAATTCTGCAACCTGAAATCATAACTTATTGAAGCTAACTCGGACACTCGTATTATCTTTCTCTATAAAATCAGTCAATCGACAACAGCAAAAAAAGAAGACAAGGTGAAAAAGTTTATGTACGGTTACGAGTGATGAAGGCGAGAGCTAATCACGAGTCTGATACAATTTCTAAACTTATATCTCGTTGCTGCTGCCGATGTATTTGTGCAGATTAAAACTCCGGTACTATCGTACACCGTTTCAATTAGCTTTTTTCTCTTCTTTTTTTTTTCGAGATTTGTTTATTGTTTTTGTTTTTTTGTTTTTTTTTTTTTTTCACCTAAACCTTTAACGCTGAACCACCCATGCGCCAAATGCAAACTCTAAATTTGAACTATACGACTATATATTTTTTCCACACAAACGTCGCATCTAAAGCGGAAGCGAGCTTTTACCTTTACCACGTCGAACTCTGTCCCGGATAATCTCTAGCTGTAATCCTTTTTTTTTTTTCTTTTAATTCCTATTCATTTTTTTTGTGCCTCCACTCGCGCTACAAGCCAAGCCGAGATAGTCGAATACGTGGCAATAGCCGTAGCGTACATTTCCAGAGCGTGGGAAACTAACGGGACGCAGCACTTGCTCTTTTTGCGGATTTTTCGCGGCGCTACGGATCGATCGCTTGTGCTTTTTGCCGCGCGACGCTAATCGCCCGGCAGCCAATCGGATGTTCTCGAGTGTTTGCTCGCTTCGGGCGAGTGCCATTTTTTCCCCTTTTTTTTTTTTTTTTTTTTTGGGAGGAGAAAGGAAGGTTTTGTGGGAATGAGAGATTTTCCGGAAATGTTTGCATTGCCGGTCAATCAGTGCGTTCGTTCGCAAGATGGCAGACGGGCCGAAGTTTGCTAGAAAAAAAAAAAAAAAAAAAAATCAATGGGTTATCTAAAGGAATCTTACACCCGATACTGCAGGCACAAAGGTAAGGACCAAAACATTTTTTACATCTCTTTCTCTCTGGGCTAGCTTTTGGAAATCCCGATTCTATGGGTCTATAGGCTATCTCTTTTTTTCAGCCACTCGTACCTATAATACATGAGACGTGCATTCATGGACACACCTACATGTGACCAGTGCAAACCAAATTTGACCCTCACTAGCACATGCTTGAAGAATTAAGAATTTTGTTTAAGTTTTCAATTAGAAAGAAATATTCGATAAATTTATCTACAAATTCCTTAGTTATGGTTGATTAAACAAAAAAAAAATTGAACATTTGGTAGGAATTCATAGCAAGATAGTATTTTACGATTATTTAACAAAAAAAAAATGATTGTACAGTTTTCCTCGTTTTCTAAACCCAATAAGTGATAGTCGAGTAATGTAGAATAATTTGACGTGTCAACCCGCTGAGTAAAAAAAAAAAAAAAAAAAAAGAAAAGAAAAGAAAAACCCCCGATAATCTCTATAAACGAAAATACACTTGACGCGCTATTGGATACTCGAACGAGCGTGTTTGGAAGCCTCGAGTCATTAGTTTGAAAAATCAAGAGTTCAAGGCTCGACGAACGGCCATCCATAAGCTCTAAAAATAACCCTCTTCCGCAGACACGGTTTAGGAACACTTCGGGCGCGATAGTAGGGAAAAAAAAGAGGAAACGATTGCTCTTACGTACGAGGCTTTACGCACACAGACACACATGTACGGTAAGCTGGTCAGCGCGTACAGGATGACGTAAAGCTACAGCCAACATCGCACGCGATGACTCTTCGCACGTCTTCCTGTCTTTCTCTTGTTCTCTTGTTTTTCGTGTGGGTGTGGGCGCGCGCATCTTTTTCTGCACTGCTGGATGTGGGCAAAGAGAGCTTATCGACGAAATCCGCAAATGTCGATAACGACACGGGCACCCCTCTGTTTTTCTCGGATTAGAGGAAGTGAAAAGGAACTCCCAAAGTTTCTCCCTTACGAGGGAGGAAAACTTTTTTTTCTCTCACCACTGCTCGAGGATCTTCACGAGGTACATTACGCACCCCCCGGCGAAAAAATTCTTAAATCCACCTTCCAGCAACTTTTTTCGTCCACATCAAAGTTTGATTCAATCAAACGTACCTCCTCCAGCCTGGCGTCTTTTGTACTGTTTAAATCGAACAGATAAGACCATAGTTTAAAAAGCAAATATGCAGATGCTCGAACGAATGAAAGAAAGAATGAAAAATTTCGTTTCAGATCCGAGAGAGTATATACGAGAAAGAGTCCCTTGGGGCTCCGAACGCGTATATCTCGTATTGTGCATCTCGAGATTAATGAGCAGCCGCAGCCGAGCCGCAGCGACTGTCGTATGTACACACACACACACGTACATCCATACACGTGTGAATGGCTCCTCTACCATCGTTATCTCGTGCTTCGGTATATACAAGGGCGATAAGCTGCTACTCCGAAACCGCACACTTCTTTTATTTCCCTTTCGCTCTTGTCACTCTCTTTTCGAGCAGGCATATAGAGGACGATTGTGATGATCATAATGCATGCTATACTGCACAGAGCTAGAGTACGCGAAGGGATGAAATCACCCCCCTCCTGCTACTTTTTTTTTTTTTTTTTTCATTCATTTCTATGCTCGTCTTTTCTTTCGGCTCTTTTTCCCTTCTTCTATTATAATCGGGTGCTCATTGTTGCGGCAGACATGGATTACTGCGCTACAGACCCTCTTTAAATGTAATCGTGCCGAGTATTTTCCTCCTCGATGAAATTCTCTCGCTTTTGACGGATCACGTTGATTTCAATACATTTTGCTACGAATGGTCTTTTTGGTTTCGAAAGTATACTCTTTATTGGTCACCCGAGGTCACCCGTCAATGTTAGTTGGTTGGTAGAGAGACACAAGCCTCTTACATATTAGCGTTCAAGTCTCGATCAATATGATATATCGGGTTGGGCGCATGCTTTAAGTGTAAAAGGACTGTCAGGCGTACAAATGTGAAAAAAATGAAATATAATCTCTAAGATCTTTGCACGTAGCATGGGCGGCACTTTTTTTCAACTTATTTTTTTATGAAAAGTTACACCTATATTATAGATACTCGAATTATACAGAAGCACTTGCTTTGTTACGGGCACTTGTGGACAAAAATGTACACTAAGAGAAAAATAAATCGCAAACTGTTCCAGCACTGCAATGATGCTTATTGCTTTTTGCATAACATAATATACACACTCGAAGCTGTTTTTCGTTTCATAGATACTTGTTTCGTCAGTTTCACCCATTCTCTTATTTTACGCGCGAGTGCGCATCCATGCCGATAACTGCGGATACGGGACCCATTGATCTGTGTAATAAAGGCAAGTAACCTCGTTAACACCGACCGAACGGGTTTAGCTTCGCGCTCCGCCCGATTACGCATGCATACCCTATCTTTCTTTTTCTCATTTTCCTTCGCCGGTTCCACGGCAATTGCGCGGTTGTTTCTTTTCCATCCCGAGTTTTACAAACACTCGCCAAGTCTGCAATTTAAGCTTCCTTGAAAATTGTTTTGCAAATCGACAATCACATTGTTTTTTTTTTCCTTTCTCGACAAACGAGCAATGCGGTGGTTGTGAAACTAATGTGGCTTAGTTCTTCGATCGAGCGCTCGCGTTTGCAGTAATAAGCACTTCCTCCGGAGTTTGAGTAAACAAAAAAAACCTCTTCCGAGTGAGATTTTGCAAGTATAATCGCCACAATGCACACTCGAAGGCACGCAATATTGTCAAGAGCGCGTGTACGTATTACGGAGGCACGTCCTTCTCGTACTCGATTCACGAGTGTATATACATTTATTACTTACGACTTTAGTATACTTATACCATCGGCAAACATACCCAGACGAGG